ACCGGGTGGTGGTCGGGCTGCGGATCGCATCTGCCGGAATCCGACTTGCCAGAGCAGCGCGGGACTCCGGGAAGGAAATCTTTCTTTTTCCCGCAGGGGTTGGGAGCGCCTCCCGGCCGCCCGGGAGTCCTCGAAGAGCTGGGGTGCAGGGTGAGAGTCGCCTTGGGTTTGTCGGGATCCTTCCCAGACTTGAGAATGGGATCTGGGAGGCCCGGCAGAGCCTCCTCACTTTCTTGGTCCTCCCCCGTCCCCCCCTCTTGAAGTTTGGCCCCGGGAAGAGATCTGGGCGGTCATTTTTCTGGGTCTTGTACTCACTTCCTTCTTTGAGGGTGTTGCAAGGAGCTTCTGAGAATGATAAAACTGTAGACTTCAGAGCACAAAGGCATCTTTGAAACTGGTGTGGATTCCAGATAGACCTACTCCTCCTCTCTCTGTCAAAGCCCAGATCCAGAGAGGTTGAGCAACTTGTCCACAGCCACACAGCCAGGTAATAGCACGGCTCGGGCTAGAACCCACTCCATTGCCACATATCCCTTTATGTAAGAGGAGCCACAGGCAGAGTTGTTAATGAAGTGGAAACTCTGGTTGGAGTTTCCTGTCTCCTTTGACACTGAAAGTGTGTGGCAGAAACGGGGAAGGATGCTGGGGGAAACACAGGGAAGCAGGGAAGGAAGTCTGTACAGTGGACAGGATGCCTTGTGGAGGAAAAACCGGGTTCCCCGGAAGGATGGGGCAAAACAGCATTGAAATCCTGTCTGAAGGCAACCCTGGGCATTCTTCTGACAGGAAAGACAGTTGTCACACCCAAGGGCTTTCTTTCATTCATTCATTCGTGCGTTCAATAAATGTTTATTATTTGTATGCTCAGTCCCCATAATTGATTTGGCAGCAGTTTTCACTATTGACAGCCCTCTCCTACCTGCTATTTTTCTCTTTCCCTTCTCAGCATCTGACTGTCTGGTTTTTCTTGTCTGAACCCCTCTGCCCACTGTCACCTCCTCGTTGGGGGGCACACCTGTGGGTCAGTTTGATCTTCTGGGTTTTCTCTCCTTATACTCCCTCCCGGAGAAATTGTATTTAGTCCCACAACTCTTTGTCCATTGGAAAGCTTCAGCTGTTACTCCTAGAGCCCCATCTCCGATGCCCACTGGTCACTGATGCAGACATTCTGGGATTCAGCGCCTCCGAACCCCACTCGGCCTCCGTCCCTGCCCACAGCTTCCCTTTTGCACCCTCAGGTTCTTCGGCTGACGCCAGACTTTGAAGACTGTCTCTGCTGACTTTCTTGCCTCTCAGCCAGTCGGTCCCTGGGACCTGTGGGATCTTCCTTCTTTGGGTCTTACAAACCTGTCGCAGGCCACCCTTCTTGACGCCCTTGTCACCTCAAGTCCAGCTCTTCTCCCAGGCTGGAGTGAGTTCCCCACCAAAGGCAACTTCTGCAGTCATCATCCAGTACCGGCGCGTGGTGGCCATCCCCTAGAAGACATTTGTTAAATTATCCCGTGATTCTGTGCACTTTCCCACTCCTACAAGAACTCTGACTTTCAAGGCTGTTCAAGTCTGGCCCAGTCCTCCCTCTTAAGACCTGATTTCTTTCTCTTCCCTGATAGTAAGGCCACTAACGTTTGCTTCTGCCATCTCCTTCATTCAAGAGCATTTCTTCCCTTCCAGCCACCTCAAATCTCGTATTTTTCCTGAAGCACCTTGCTTCAAGAAAATCTGCCACCTCCGCCTCTACTCCCTTCCAGGTGGAAGTGACTGTCCCTCTGAGAACTGCTGCAGACACATTAACTGTGCCACTTGACAATTATCTCCTCCGTGTTATTAGTCAGGACTTTGATGTTTACAGTCTTTTATCAGCAATACATTGCAGGCCTGGGAGAGCTGGGTTCTGTCTATCCTTGTGTGTGTGTGTCCCTGTGACTTGTGTGGCCACGCACACACATACTCTGCACTTGGCACAGCGACTTGTACCAAGGAAGCGCTCAATATTTGTCAATTTTAGAAAGCTAAACCCAACTTCATCTCGCCAATGGAATTTTTCATATACTGGCATTTTTTTTTAACCTGCTAGTGTATCGTGACTTTAATACTGTGGGTCCTACTATGAATAGCTTTATTCATAAAGTCCAAAGCCAGGGGGAACTCAGGAGAATGACAAATTTGGTACAAGGGAAGGAATGCCTCTTCACTTCACAGTGTGCACCTGGCATTCCTGGAACATCTGCAGCTTAGCCTTTGACAAGATCATAGTTTTATGTGGCGAGATGAATGCCGGAAACTCCCCCGGCCCCCACTGAAGCTCTTACTTTTCTTTGGCACTGGTGTCATGGAAGAAACCCTCGCCAGAGAGGCAGAGCATGAGTTTTAGTCCTGGCCTATAGCTCAGCGTCCCTAGGTTAGTCACCTCTCTGGGTCACACGTTCAGCATCTCAGAAAGGGAGAGCGTTATATGTACTCATTAGAGCTGTTTTATCTTCTTCACAAAGGCTGGAAAGTTACTGAGGTGAAATCTTCTGCCTTGTAATGCCACCCTTTGTCCTTAGTTCTGTCTTATTAGTCACTTGATGGGTGAAGCAGAGGCACAATGCTCCAATCAGAGATTCCTCTATGGGATAGGATTAGGAGGTCTTCTCTGCTCAACAATTTTTGCAATTGTCACTCTGTAAAAGAAATTATTATTATTATCATCATGTATCTCTCTCTCTTTTTTTTTTCCTTGAGTTGGAGTCTCACTCTGTCACCCAGGCTGGAGTGCAGTAGCACTCTCACGGCCACCACAGCCTCGACCTACTGGACTCAGGCAGTCCTTCCGCCTCAGCCTTCCAAGTAACCAGAATTACAGACGCGCGCCACCACGTCAGCTAATTTTTTTTTTTTCTGAGTCAGAGTCTCACTCCGTCGCCCAGACTGGAGTGCAGTGGCCGCTCCCGGCCACCGCAGCCTCGACCTGCTGGGCTCCGGCGATCCTTCCGCCTCAGCCTTCCAAGGAGCTGGAACTACAGGCGTGCGCTACCACGCCCGGCTGATTTTTGATTTATTGTAGAGATGAGGTCTTGCCAAGTTGCCCAGGCGGGTCTCGAACCCATGGGTTCAGACAATCCACTCACCTCAGCCTCCCAAAGGCACGGGATTACAGGCTGAGCCACCGAGCCTGGCAATATTTTTTTTTTTTAAGTTTATTTTAGAGATGAAGTCTCGCCACGTCGCCCAGACTGGATTGGAACCCCTGAGCCCAGGCAATCCTCACGCCTCTGCCTCCCAAAGTGCTGGGACTGCAGGTGTGAGCCACTGCACCAGGCAAAAGTTTTTTTTGGTTTTTATTGTTACCCTTAATGCAGCCCCAATGGGTCTGGCTCCTCTCCTCCAGGTGCTGGGTGGCCTTGCCTGCTTCAGAGAACACGTGGGGATTCCTCTTTTTTGAGGCGGCTCTTCCACACCACATGTATATCCCAGGTGAACCAGTCTCTGCCCGTGAGCTGGGTGAGGCAGCCTCTCCCCTAGCTTCTCCAGGGAGAAATTGAGGTGGTGGAATGGGCGAGGCTTTTGCCAGCTCCACCCTTAGAGAATGTAGCAGGGCTGAAACCCAAATATCTGCCTCTGTGATCTGCCAGGCATATCTCCTTACATTCTGGAACCTCAGGCTTGGGGTGGACAGACCCAGAGCCCTGTTTGGGGCCAGTTGGGTTTGGCACTGTGGTTGCGAGAGAGACTGCTGCTGCTTGTGTGGGCTGTGTGGCTATTCTTGAGGGAGTCATTGGGCAACTTCTCCATTTGCTCAGTAAA